AATACTCCTGGGCCTCCATGATCGGAATAGTAAACGCAAGTCCGGTCAGTGGGCTCACGTTTTTTTTGTTTCTAAAAGTCTGAACAAAGAAGCATGTGCTGGAGTAGCTCAGTTGGTTAGAGCGTGTGGCTGTTAACCACAAGGTCGAAGGTTCAACCCCTTCCTCTAGCGTTTTCTTTATTTAATTCTCTACTGATTTTTCATTTTCTTTCACATGATATTCTAGCAGTTTGCAGATTGAATTGTGCATTCAATTTATTGTTATCATTTTTCTTTTCAGATTTAAGGACTAAAATATCTGAAAATCACTGATATTCATCACCACTACATACAAAAATAGTGAGTTCTTTTAATGTAGTTTAATTTTTTGGGTGAAATTTTAGTCGTTCCTCCAAGATGCATATAATAAATAGATATTTTGGCTTCATCGATTGGGAAATTAATTATACAATCAAAATTGATTCAATTGGGTCGAAATTTAACAAATGGACAGCCAAGTACTTGAATAAGTACACCTTGCTTGGAGGGCTAAGTGTCCCAGGAACAGCAATCATCTTTGCACAAACATGGCATAATTTAATAACATAACACCAAGCCCCTGACCCAACAGACAGAGAATCGCAGGTTGTTCAAAACAGGAACCAAAATCAAGCAGCAACTTCTTGCTCCTTGGTAGCAAGCTGGTTCTGGATGTGCTGAGGTACCACATCGAACTTGGCTAATTGCATTGTGTATGAAGCTCTCCCTTTTGTCATCCCCCTTAGCGTACTGACGTATTGAAACATCTCTGCTAGAGGAACCAGCGAATCCACCACCTGCATTCATTCAATTCAAAGCTTTGTTCATTGAATGCTTGTTTATTGACCAAAGCAATTATGTGTGGTTATTGTGGCATACCTTGAGACCCCCAGGCTTGTCACCAAAGCTGTTGATCTGTCCTCTCCTGGAGTTGAGATCTCCAATTACATCTCCAAGATGTTCCTCTGGGGTCACAACCTCGACTTTCATGATTGGTTCGAGCATTTTAGGACCTGCTTTCCTCATCCCTTCCCTGAAAGCTCCCCTGGCTGCAAGTTGGAAGGCCAACACACTTGAATCTACATCATGGTATGTACCATCAACGAGCACTGCGCGAACGTCAACCACGGGAAAGCCAGCAAGAACCCCATTGCTCATACACTCTTCCAATCCCTTGACCACCCCAGGAATGTACTCTTTTGGCACTGCTCCTCCCTTGATTTCACTTTTGAACTCGTATCCACAGCCTGCTTCCATGGGTTCGAACCGCACTGTAATATCAGCAAACTGTCCTTGACCACCGGATTGTTTTTTGTGCACATACTTCACTTCCGAAATTTTCGAAATACTTTCTCGGTAGTTAACTTGCGGCGCACCCACATTAGCTTCAACCTATTTAAACCAAATTTTGCTGTTAACTAATTTTCTGCAGAATGGAGTTTCAAGCAATAAAGATTTTCATGGTTAGGAGTAAAATGAGAAGCAACAAATACAAACCTTGAATTCCCTCTTGAGCCTGTCAACAATGATTTCAAGATGCAACTCTCCCATGCCTTCAATCACAGTCTGGTTAATCTCTTCATCACGTGAGAAGTGGAACGATGGGTCTTCTTGAGCCAGCTTGATTAAACCAGTTGCCATCTTATCGACATCAGCTTTAGTTTTGGGCTCGATTGCAACCTTAATCACAGGATCAGGGAAGTCCATCCGTTCAAGTACAATAGGCTTATCTGGATCACACAGGGTTTCACCAGTAATGGTATCTTTAAGACCGGCAAGAGCGACAATATCCCCAGCAAGGGCCACCTTCACATCCTCTCTGCTGTTTGCATGCATTTCAAGAAGTCTACCAATTCTCTCTTTCTTTCCTTTGTTCGAGTTCAATACATAAGATCCTGCAGAAAGTTTACCTGCGTATACTCTCACAAATGTCAGTGATCCTACGAAAGGATCACTCATGATCTTGAAAGCTAGTCCTGAAAATGGTTCGTCATCACTGGCAGCCCTCTCAACTATCAGTTCTGGGTTCTCCGGGTCGGTTCCCTTCATGGGCGGCAACTCAACTGGAGAAGGTAAATAGTCCACAACAGCATCAAGCAATGGTTGGACCCCCTTGTTTTTGAAAGCTGAGCCACACAATACAGGAACAAAAGAAGCAGATATCGTCCCCTTCCGAATAAGCCTCTTAATGGTCGACTCATCAGGTTCAATTCCTTCCAAGTAGTTATCCATGGCTTGATCATCCAACTCGACAACAGTCTCAACCATCTGAGATCGATAGTCTTCAGCGAGATCCTTAAGGTCTTCTGGAATATCTTCATACGCAAACTTAGCACCCAACTCTTCTCCCGACCAAACTATAGCTTTCATCCTCACAAGATCAATAACACCCTTAAAGTTATCTTCAGAGCCAATTGGTAACTGAATAACAAGTGGCTTGGCACCCAAATTTGTGACAATCATGTCTCTTGTTCGGAAAAAGTTAGCTCCAAGGCGATCCATTTTGTTGACAAAGCAAATTCTGGGAACTCCATACTTATCAGCCTGCCTCCACACAGTTTCAGATTGTGGTTCAACTCCAGCAACACTGTCGAATAGGCATATCGCTCCATCCAACACTCTAAGCGCACGCTCCACCTCAAGTGTAAAATCGACATGACCCGGTGTATCAATAATATTAATACGGTGTTTGTTCCAGAATGTAGTAGTTGCAGCAGAAGTAATGGTTATTCCTCTTTCTTGTTCTTGCTCCATCCAGTCCATTGTCGCCGTTCCCTCGTGTACTTCCCCTATCTTGTAGTTTCTCCCTGTGTAGTATAGAATACGCTCTGTTGTAGTCGTCTTACCGGCATCAATATGAGCCATGATTCCAATGTTCCTATAGTCTTCTAGCGGAACTGAGCGCCTTCCATCTGCAAACAAAAGATGAAAAATAAGTATATCCCTATTGAGAAGCTTCCTTGCATAACTTGTAATTGTGAAAGAGTAGGAGGCTGTCTTAGAGAAACATCAAACTAGAAAATTCAGTGTTTGCATAAACATTTGAAAAATTGTAACCAAGGCCACATGTTGTTGAAAAGCAATACTCAAGGTGTTTCAAGAAACAATGACCATTATGAAACTCACCCTTGCATGAAATGAAAAGCGAAGAATTGAAAACAAATAGCTAATAGCGGTCATATAGTCCTAATACTTCAGAACACATCCAATTCTGTAGGCTTTCGTAATTTAAAATATGAAGTGGGTATTATTGGCAATGAAGGACATTGAATGGAGCCTCTTTCTCAGAACCAAAGTTGAGGACATCAAAATTGAAAGTATGTTAAAACATGCAAGTAAATAATACATTCAATGCTATGGAGCTTCCCGAATTCAGAACTCAGGCATATAAAGTAATCCGAAACCCCAATTTAAAAGTGATAATTCGCCATAGAAGAACAAGGGGGGGAAATGATACCTTCGGCAGCCATAGCAAAGACAGAGAGGTTGCGTCTGTTCTTACAGAGGTTTGAGGGAGGTGATGAGGCCAGACGAAGGTTTGTACCGAAGAATTGGGAGCGGGAAGAGAGAGTAAAGGAAGAAAAAGTTCGCGAAGAACGAAGTAGAAAGGGAGTTCGAGAGAGAGGCGATGCAGGCCTTCTCTGAGAGCTATTGAACTTGCACACAGAAGAAGCTGCTCTCATTGACTCTGCCGCCATTATCGTTTTCCTATCTCAATCCGTTTCTGAGAGAGCGATTTGGAACGGCAACGGAGTTTCAGAATTCGTGAAATAGGGCGGCTGAGTTTTCTTCGGATTACGGCGAGTAGATAACATCTCCAAATTCTTCATTTTAGAAATTATTTTTTCCGGGAACTACCCTCGTAAATCACGATAATAACCCAATTGCCCCAACTAACATGTATCTTTTGAAGCAACATTTATAGTTTAATCCAAGGTTATAAAATTATTTATTGTAAGATAGTAATTTGGAAAGAAAGTAAGGGCAAAAGTGTAAAACAAGGCACTTTTGAATTGACAATGGGCCAACAAAGAGCAGGTTTGGAAGGTGCCACATAGCCTTGTAATTCCACACCGCAGATTATAGATGTGGTTTTCCAACTCGAACCCGAAATCACTCGCACGTGTGTACGTATACATATCGTTTTTGTATTGTATAATATGAGGATATGCAACTAATTTAATTTGGAGTTGTATAAATAATAGCTTCCTTTTACCGAACGGCAAAAGCAATGGGCTGGGTCGTACCAAGTAGGCCGAGCCCATTAGAAGCTCTAAGGAGAGCCCGTACTTGGCCCATTAAATATTTGGGCTTTTAGATTCCTGGGCTTTTCTTACGATAAAAAGATTTGGGAAAGGATCTTAAGCCAACATTTTAAAGATAAACTTAGTGAACAAAAAATAAAAATAGATGCATTTGAGAATTTAGGTGTCTTTTACATGATAATAATTACATTCTCCTTTCCTTTTCAAGTAGAGGAGAGAAGTGGGTATTCCAAAATGGCTTATACGTGTAGAGAACTATTGGGGTGAGTCCCACATTGGTTAATTTAGTGGAAGATCATGAGTTTATAAGTGAGGAATACTATCTCCATTGGTACGACGCCTTTTGAGAAAGCCCAAAACAAAGGCAGGAGAGCTTATGCTTAGGATAATATTATACCATTGTGGAGAGCCGTAATTCCTAAAAGTACCAATGAATCGTAGCTACTTGGGACCTTAGCCTTCACATGGACTCCATTACCAATAATAATGAATATGGAGAAGATGGGGGAGGTTGGGGGCAGTTACACTAGTTTGACTAGACAGAGTATGGGAAAGGGAGTGGCATTACTAAAATTGTGGGTTCCAACAAGCCCCATGTGCCCGTCCTATCAGATCCCCTTTTTTGTTGTGAGTCTGTGCAGTGGCCTCTGCAGCAGCAGCACCAAGAATACAAAATGGGGGACGTTAACTAACAGGGCACATAAAGCTAATCGACCATACAAACAAACACAAAATTTTACACAACTTAAAGCTTTCCATTGCAAAATCACCATCAGAGCAAGCCCAGATAATATACAAACAAGCCTAACACACACCGAATTCCAAATACAAAATTAGTGCTTTTTGTCGGCGAAGTGATTAACAAGAGCGAGGGCATTACTAGTGACTTGAGCAACAAGTGTAATCTTCCGGCGAATCACTGCCTTAACTTGGCCATCCAAGCGGCGGCTGGCGAACCCATCAAGGCAAGTGGTTTCATCAGTCAGGGCGGCGCTGACCCAAGTCTGGACATTACTCAAGTGCCACAACAAGTCCCCACCAGCTGTTCGACGCAAGTCCCTGAGCTCTTTCACCGACTGTCTGAGGCGGTCCACGGTATCGCCCATGTTCTCAATGCAGTCTTTCAGGGCCTGGTACTCTAGTCCTCTGACTGCACCGCCTTTAGCGAGGTTGGACACGAAGGCTGCAGCGAGACGGGACTTGTTGAGGCTGACGGAGAGGGCGGTTTGGGTGAGCTGACGGCTGCTCTGGCGGATGGAAGTGGCGTAGGCTGAGAGGGAGTGGACGCAGAGAGCCGGGTAGCGAGTGACTCTGCAGGAGGACTCGATGAAGCTGGTGGCGGTGGCTGAGTGTGTGGGTGCGGCATTGTGGAGGACCACAAGGACGAGAAGTGGGAGTGAGATCTTGAGATTTGGCATTGCTAGTTTGGAGGGAAAGGGAGAGGAGGAGGACAGGGTATTTTATGCCACAAAAAAAGACATTTGGAAAGTATTATATAAATAATACTAGCACTCTCTAGTATTTTATTATCTGTTTTTAGTTTAACAATACGTGAATCTTGTAATTTAGAAAAGAAAAAAAAATAAAAAATAAAAATAAGATCAGAGACGTCCCACATGGTTTCATAAAAAGTGGGTAAGGTCTGTTTCATCATCCACTTTTGAGTGCATTATTTTCCTACCTTTTGCTTGAAAGCTGCCACTTTTTTCTCGGCCTCCTGTCTGCCATCCAACAAAAATAACTAATTCAATTTGAAATTTGAAGTGGGATTAGGTTACAAATTTAGACACTAAACTTCATATTTAACCTAGAGAGGTAATGATATTATGATGATCAATTACTAGTTCTATAGTTCTGGGAAAAGATTAAAGTGGATTATAATTTAAATCAACAAAATTTGATTCCTTCAAAATTATTGTATGGATGTGATTATAACAACCAACCAACCCTCGAAGAATCCGATTCTTACATTTGAATTTTGGGGTGGATTCCAGAAAGTCCGGAGACAAAGTCCAAAATTATGATGCAAATTCCAATATCCTTGACTATCTTCTCATCAATCTCATAATACCCGGCTGATTTGTTCGTTTATTAAATAAATTAATCATAGGAAACGTTCATGAAATGGGTGCTATCTCGATTGGTTAGGACAAGCACCGGGTGAGTAGATATCAAGTAATAGAATGATATATTTTTGAAGGATTCAAATAGATAGCTTAGAAAATTTCTAATGAATTCTGAAAAAATTTGTATGCTAAGTTATTGAAATACTCAGTAACTGTTCTAGTTTCTCGCAATCCAGACTACTAAGCTGCTGTCATGTACTTGAGAACAGCCCCTCGAACCTTTTCCATGAAAGCAGCAGCATCTTTCTGCATGTCGTCAATGAAGAAGATTCAATTGCCAAGATCTGTGTTCTTAAGCTCTAAAGATGTTGTTTGAAGCTAACATGGTGAAAGAAGAAATTCATCAATGGCTATTACCTGGTTACCGCTTTGCGCATTGGCTATGTTTTCGTCGAGAAGGGCTAGTAGCGATCGATTGAGCTCGTTTCGTTCCACCATATCCAACAACTACAGAATAGAAACGACATGGTCAGCATTTTGGTTGCAGGGTCAGCTATAAACAGCAGAGTGAAAGAAGAAACAGAACACATACGGTAGCTTTTACATCCTTTGATGTTAAAATTTTGGTTAAGCCTTCCCTTGCTTTTACCAGTTCGCCTTGCATTTTATCATACGCTTCTGTAACACAAAACTAAATGAAGTATGTTATCAAATGAAGCAGCCCAGGGAAAGAGGAATTAAGGTTTCAGACAGACCTATTCCTTCTTCAAGCGCTTTCTGTAATGCTTCTAACTCAATCACTCTGTCTTCCATGGCCTAAACAATCAAGGGAATTGCTTGTTTAGTTGTTATCGTGATGGCATCAATCTTCATCTAAGGAAATTTTAAAACACGACAAGAATTGACCTCAGTTTTGTTAACGGCAAATCTAAGCTCTCCCAGCTCCAGTTTTATACTCGAAAAAAACTCCTCGGTCAGCCTGCCATTTAGTGCACGTTACAGCCAAGAAAAACATAATATGATCAGACAATGTTGATATCAGAGCTGATTGAGCTAACAGAACTGGAAAAATTTGAATCCTGTTTGAATCACTAACCTGGGTCTCAACCTGGCGATTTCGAATTCAATATCCTGAGCTTCAGTATCAAGAAAATACTCAATAAGGCCAGTCACGTTGTTCGGAACTACACGAGACTATCCATGAACAGAGATGAGTACACAATCAGTAAACAAACCCAATTGGAAAAAGGTCATGAAATTGAAAACCCCAATTGCTAGAATTACCGCTCGAAGCAATTGGCGGCGTTCTTTCTCTTCCCGGACTTGGCGTTCGAAAGCCTCGCGAGCTTCGGCGTCCCTCTCCAGCCGCCTTTTGAACTCTCTTCGAGCGATATGGCCGGTCTGAGGCGGTCCAAAAATGCCTTCTGGGTCCTGAATCGAACGAATCTCTGATAAGGAAGGAAAAATGGAAGTGTAAGAAGAAGAGGGAAAGATTAGAAAGATACCCATCCGACGCAGGTAATGGTCTTTGGGTTGGGGCGAGTGCGGGTGAGAATCGACGTTGATGAAACGTGGATGGTGGTGGCGGTGAAGCCGAATCTAAGAGCGGCCATTGATGGGCTCTGTGAAATAGTGAAAATGAAAAGATTGTAATCTCAGCCACTGGTTCTTGGGTCCTCGTCTCACCCTGTAGTACTCTGCACCAGCGTTATCCGTATGCGAATGAAGCTCCCTGTGGCGGGAAATCTTAACCGTCCAAAACGTAAAAAGACAACCGTTCGTTTTTAATGGTTCTGCCGCCAACCTAAACATAACCATTACTTCTACTCATTCAAAGTATTATATCTTTGATTAACTTAGAATTTAGTCACAACTTTTTATTTATCACAAATTGGGTCTTTCCCATTTTTGTTTATATTTTAGGAAGTTCATATTTTTATTTGAGGGTTTAATAAATTTTTATAATTTAAGATAAGAAATTTAAATTTTGTACGAGACATTCAAATTTCTGATCTTTTAGTTAGTGATAGAAGTTTTCCTTCATAAGAGGATGTCTCGTATTTGGTCGCACCAACTTCCTTAAACACAAGCGAGTTAGTTGTAAAGTAATTAAACATTTGTTTCCCTTAATGATGCAGTTGTGGGCTGGTTCAAACAGGCCTACGGCTATTGTAAGTGTAGTCCTTAAAACCAATCAATGGGCTGGGCCGTAGCATTTTTGTTACTGAATTTCTATCACATCTAACACTTCAGTGGATACACGTACGTGAAGATTTTAATTTTCTCCACATATAAATCTTCAACACAAACACAACCCCTGCGTCCAATAGTTGCGTCCACAGTGTTTCGACCGCCGACAAACGTATGGGACGAATCTACCATACTCCATTACCACACAATCTAACCCTCTCTCAAATGCATCACCTCGCGAGCATACATTGTATTTTGGGAGAGGTTTCCACGCCTTTATAAAAAAAAATTTATTCTCCTTCCCCACGGACGAGATGGACGGAGTGAGAGTGGATGAGGTAACTGCGATCCCCGGGTTGCCCTCCAATCAAATCCCTTATTTGCTGTTCTTTCTCCTAATCTTCTGTTCTCATGTCCAATTAGGTGATCTATCCTACTCCATCACACCCAATCCTTACTCAACTCCCTCCCCAGTCAACACCCTCATTCACCTGCTAGATTTGATGATTAAAATACATTAATTCATCATACACATTTAAATTCTTTGTTCTTAAGTACTTTTCTGTAAAATCAGTGAAATTAAAAGTCCCAAGTGAATGTCTTTTCCATTTACTTTCCAACAAAAAACCAATTGAATTGATTGTTGGTTCCTCATTCCCAACTCGCTTCCTTCTATGTGTCGGCGATTCCATCCATAATTTTGCTTCCCAAATCTGTGCCATAATACTTTTTCTTAAGAATAAATGACGATTGCATTACCCACTAATGGCGTAAATAATTGAGGTAATTAAAAACGTAATCAAAGTTTATTTAAGTTCATAATTTGTTAATGAAAGAATTGAATTGGGTTGGTGAAGAGTCGCTTTTGGATATGGGTTAATGGCGTTTGAGCTAAACATGACGCTAACATGTACTTGGAGATTGAATACTTCATCATTAACCTAAGTGGTATGGTGGGTGGCAAAGTTGGTGATTTTTTAGGGTTAATTAAAATAACCCATTCGTCTTTTCCTACAAAAATTAACAAAAACATTTGGCATCCTTTTTGATCCCTCTCCACTTTGTTGCATTTATAAACACCCATCCAATTCAACTACGACCTGCCTACTGCCACAGTTCCTTTTGGGGGTTTCATTAATTTTTAAACGCAATGGGACTCTTTGTTTCAAACTCAATAAGAGAGATTCATGAATTGGGTATAGTTTAGATCATCCTACATTAATGTCTTTTATCATCAATTTAAGTACCAAATTGTAAACCCTAAGCCTAAGATGACGCATTTTTCTTAATTAATAGGGTTGTGCTTGGATTAACCAAAAGAGATGAGGATTATTTTGTCGTTAGGGTTTGTAAGATCCCTCATCGGTTAGAGAGGGAACGAAACATTCCTTATAAGGGTGTGGAAACCTCTCCCTAGTAGACGCGTTTTAAACCCATGAGGCCAACAGTAATGTGTAACATGTCAAAACAGACAATATCTGCAATAAATGGTATCAAAACAAGTTACTGGACGGAGCTTGAGCTGTTACAGATGATGTTAGAGTCAAACATTGAGCGGTGTGTTAGTGAAGATGAAACATTTCTTATAAGAATGTGAAAACCTCTCCCTAGTAGATACGTTTTAAACCTGTGAGACTGACTACCATACAAAACGGACCAAAGTGATCTATGAGACCATGCATGTACTAAACATTTAAAAGAAAGGGTTTTGTGTGTTATGAAACATCAAAATGTAAAATGTTTTGGAACCCAAAAAAGGAAAACTCATACGTGGTTGGTTTTGCAAAGTTACAAGAGACGAGACACCGTAGGAACATAACAAGTGTTGTTTATGTTGTTGAACTACAAAGGAAGTTGTGTCTTCTTTTAAAATTATGTCTGTTCCTGGTCAAATGGTCTTGTTTTGCAGTATCTTCAAAGTAATTTTAAATACATGCTTTATTTTTCCTCCTTGGACACTTGGCATCTGAATTATCAACATCTTCTCTTAAATTATCTCAACAAAATGACTCTTTGAATTCTCATTTCTCTAAATAATCACTAAAACTAGATGCATTGAATGCTTTTAAAAGTGCGTAACAAATTCATAAACTTTCAATATCTTTGTCTAAATGGATAATGAAACCAATATTTTTTAAGTTTATGTTTAAAAGTAGTCAAGATTATGAAGACTTGTAGGGTAAAGGGTGGATGTTCATACCCACTAACCTACGCCAAGAGACATAAGTCAAAACCCAAAAAAGGAGGAGATCTGTATACCCAACCACCCATATGGTATTTGTGCTCTATTATCAATGGGTGACACTAAAATAATGATAGACGAACCAACAAAGAAAGAAAAGTTAAACACATGTAAAATCTTCAAATGGATAGAACTCTAAACTTTAAACAATTCTTTTTATAGTCACCATAGACTTTATGTGCTTTCTCCTTCACCTAAAATATATATTTTGCTCAAACTGGGTAAATACTTTTTGTTGTTGCTCAAGTAAAATATAACCGAGGCTTACATACCTCTTTAGACGTTTTCCTACGACATGATTACGCTTCCAACTTCTTTTAACATATTTTGTCCTCACTCACGTGCATCTCAAGAAAATTCTTAGAAGGTCTCCCAACCTACTATTGTTTTAAGTGAAGTACACTTAATAATAAAATTTTTATGATCGAACCACTGAAAAAAGTCGTTCTATACTCAAGATCGCTCTCGTAATTTTGATTCATTCATGGACTTCTCCGAATGCCACAATAAATTATCTTTTGAAATGATTAATTTCATGAATTATATGCTAATGTTTATCTTTTAAATAAATTATAATGTTAAATGTTGCACGAAATCAAAATTTAGATTTATAAAGAAAGGAATATTTTAGCTATATTTAATAATATGATTATATTATAAGATTTTCACTTTTTAAAAGTTGCTTTAGAAATCTTAGCAAAATTTACTTTTTTCTAATTTTTAAAATGTAATTATTTTTTTAAACACATTTGCAAAGGGCAAGTATATATATATAAGAAAAGAATGTGGGGGAAGCGCAGTCTAGCTATAATTATGAACCAAATAAACTATTTAATCAGATTATTACCAATATTATGTCAAGCATTTCCTTTTAAATATATAATTATTTTCCAAAAAGAACCCGGTTTTTTCATCATGAACAGAGCGCCAAGAGAATGTAGAAAACAAAAAACCGGGCCATTCATGGAACAGGTTACAGGTCGGTGCGAATATTATGAATAAAATATTATTATTGGAAAGCTGGGGGAAGTCCAGTCGTGGCCCATCCAATGCCACATGGCAACACCATATTAATCTCCCTACTTTCAGAAAGGACACGTAAACGTAGAGATGACGAAATGGCTGATGTGTATTGCCTATGTGGTGGAGTAAAAAGTTGAATAAGCAAAAACTTGGTTTTCCCTTTTTTTTTTTTTCTTTTCTATTTTCTAATTATAATTTTGGTGTTAAAATTTATATCCTTAATTAAAAGCTTATGATTTTGGTAAACTAAGTGTGTTCAATACATGGGTGCAACATTTTTGCATCCACAAGCAATTAATCATAGAGTAAAACAACGTTTTAGCATTGTTTATAAACATTTTAAAGAATTTAATGAAGAAAATTTTTAAAACCATCCCACTAAACTTAAAAATTTATAAATTTTGTTGTTGTGCCACTTCTGATGGTTGGTTACATGTGTAAGCTCCATATTCAGCTGACCCACCTCCATTTAGTGGAGCTAACCACAGCAGAGCATTGCCATTGTAGCTCCTCTGTCTTTTTCATTGCAAAAATGGTGGACCCCAGAATCTTCATCCTTCTTTGATTGATCTCCCATTTCATGCGTGTGCATTTTGTAGTATATATTAAGTGTATTCCAACGTGAGGGGTTAGAATAAACCCAACCACAAATACAATTACAAACAGGGAGGTTGATATAAAGGTGGATAAGCCTTGTGGGGCTTTTGGGTCCTTCAAAACAACACCAAAGCAGCGGCCTAACGCTTATTGGTGCTTTCAGGTTCATTCCCGCTAATTGTTAGAGAAAAGGTTGAAAAATATGGGGAGGCAGCCTTGCTGTGACAAACTTGGAGTTAAAAAAGGCCCTTGGACTGCTGACGAAGACAACAAACTCATCAACTTTATACTCACTAATGGGCAGTGCTGTTGGCGGGCCGTCCCTAAGCTCGCTGGCCTCCGCCGTTGTGGCAAAAGCTGCCGCCTTCGTTGGACTAATTATCTCCGCCCTGATCTTAAGCGAGGCCTTCTCTCTGAAGCTGAAGAGCAATTGGTGATTGATCTTCATGCTCGTCTGGGAAACAGGTTGGTGTTGTTGTTATTATTATTATTATTATTATTTTATCATTTTTGGGACTTGGGTCATCGGAATTCAGTAAAATTTAAGAAAAGTTTTGATTTTTTTTGGTGCCCTTTTGGTGATTTTAGCTTCAAAGCTCCTTCTCAACCACCTTCATTTCTTGAATCTTAAGCTGAGAAGTCCATTTACGCATTTTGAAGTGATGTGTAGGAAAGA